CCCACCCCATACTGCAATTTCATATCCATCTCATTCTCAGGTTGAGGTGTCTAATTTGTGATCCTAGTTCTTTCTTCTGTGTCTGCTCTCTGGATCTCTCCTAATGGAATAGCTTGAGGCTATTTAGTCCTTCCAAATTTGAGTTAATCCAACATAGAAGCTCTTTTATTGTCTGCTTTTACTTGCTTTACCAAGTAAAAACACATGATTTTCACTCTATCAGCCCAAGATCTAAATGTTGAAAACAAAGCCCACTTACACTTCTGTGCTCAAAGACCCTTGCTATTATACAGAATAGGTTATCAATATGTATTGAACATAACACATATAGCAATTTATGCCTTACCTATTAGTTTGTTTCCCTTAATGTGTCTTGTTTCTATCTCATGCCAATTGTGAAGGTAGTACAGTCATGTTAACTCATCTTACAATGATGGTGCCCCATGGGAAAGACGGCTGTATAAGCAGCATTCATGTTTCTGCATCTTCCACAGTCCAATTTCCTTCACTCTACACTGGCAACTTGCTCTGTGTTTGATCTTGTGACTTCTCAGTACCCATCCCCCAATTGTTCCAAAATAGTGTCACAGTGTGCCACTCAGCTCTTTCTTGCCCACTTAAATGAGTTATAGACAAAATGATTTCATTTCATATGCCCATGGGTGACAGGTAAAGGAAAACCATGAAGAATTAATACCAGTATTTTAAAGGGCAAAGGCACCATGTTTTAAAAGTTGGCCATTTGACTGCTGAGGCTTTTGGCTTGTCCATAGTACAGGACCATTGTGTTTTGTAGAAAGTGTGAAATTCTAAAATAGCATTGGATGAGAGGAGAGCATAGACTGAGACTAAGTGCTGAGTGAATTGGAGGATGCAATTCTTGATGGGATGACCAAGAATTCTGGGAAACTTTCCTTTTCCAATTCTGTAGCACCTTGTGTAACATTACACTCACAACAGAAATCAGGGACTGCATCAGACAGCAGTGGTTGGGAACTCTAAACGTTTGCATTCACTGCACACTCTCTCTTTAATCATAGTGTGCATTTAGTCATATAATGCTGAGGATGATGCGGTAAATCTGCCCTAGATTGAGGTAATTGGTAGCACATTTATACAACACTGGTGGAAGATTGGATTCTTTTTGTTTTAATTTTTGCTTGATTTGAAAGGAGAGAGTTTTCACTTTATTTGAATGGAGACTAGGAGAGAGAGAGAGAGAGAGAGAGAGAGAGAGAGAGAGAGAGAGAGAAAGAGAGAGAGAGAGAGAGAGAGAGAGAGAGAGAGAGAGAAATTCTGCTGGTTCACTCCCTGAATACCTAAGCAGCTTTGTCTGAGCCAGGCCAAAGCCAGAAGCCTGGAACTGTATCTGGGACTCCCATGTGATTGACAAGGACCCAAATACTTGAGCCTGGGAAGCATGTTGATTAGCAGGAAACTGGATTAGAAGCTGGCAACCTAGACTAGAACAAGGGTCTCTGATCTCTGATATGTGATGTGAGAATCCCAAACAGGGACTTAACTGCTGCCCCAAATACTCACCTGTACATTTACATTCTTTTTTTTTAACTTTTTTTTAATGAATATAAATTTCCAAAGTACAGAATATAGATTACAATGGCTTCCCTCCCATAACGTCCCTCCATCCTGCAACCCTCCCCTTATCCACTCCCTCTCACCTTCCATTCATATCAAGATTCATTTTCGATTCTCTTTATATACAGAAGATCAGTTGAGCATACATTAAGTAAAGATTTCAACAGTTTGCACCCACACAGAAACATAAAGTGAAAAATACTGTTTGAGTACTAGTTATAGCATTAGATCTCAATGTACAGCACACTAAGGACAAAGATCCTACATGAGGAGTAACTGCACAGTGACTCCTGTTGTTGACTTAACAAATTGACACTCTTGTTTATGGCATCAGTAATCACCCTAGGCTCTTGTCATGAGCTGCCAAGGCTATGGAAGCCCCCTGAGTTCACTGACTCTGATAATTTTTAGACAAGGCCATGGTCAAAGTGGAAGTTCTCTCCTCCCTTCAGAGAAAGATACTTCCTTCTTTGATGACCCATTCTTTCCACTGGGATCTCACTCGCGGAGATCTTTCATTTAGGTCCCCCCCCCCCCAGAGTGTCTTGGCTTTCCATGCCTGAAATACTCTCATGGGCATTTCAGCTGGATCCCCATGCCTTAAGGGCTGATTATGAGGCCAGAGTGCTGTTAGGACATTTGCCATTCTATGGGTCTGCTGTGTATCTCAATTCCCATGTTGGATCATTCTCTCCCTTTTTGATTCTATCAACTAGTATTTTCAGACACTATTCTTGTTTATGTGATCCCTTTGGTTCTTAGTCCTATCATTATGATCAATTGTGAACAGAAATTGATCACTGGGACTAGTGAGATGGCATTGGTACATGCCACCTGGATGGATTGAATTTGAATCTCCTGGTATGTTTCTAACTCTACTGTTTGAGGTAAGTCAGCTTGAGCATGTCCCGAATTGCACATCTCTTCCCTCTCTTATTCCCACTCTTATATTTAACAGCGATCACTTTTCAGTTAAGTTTCAGCACTTAAGAAGAATTGTGTATTGATTACAGTATTCAACCAAAAGTATTAAGTAGAACAAAGAAAAAAAATACTAAGAGGGATAACATATTAAGCTGCTCATCAACAGGGCTGATCAAGTCACCGTTTCTCATAGTGTTCATTTCACTTTAGCAGGTTTCCTTTTTGGTGCTCAGTTAGTTGTCACCTATCAAGGAGAACAAGTGGTATTTGTCCCTTTAGGATTGGCTTATTTCATTCTAATGTACAGTTGCCTGAGTCTAAACGGAGTGGTAAATGCTTCCAGAGGCCTTCTTATTATTGTGAAAGCCCTGTGTTCAATGATGAAATTTTCATCCAGGAACATTATAATTTCTGTCTTGAAAAATGTTGCTCATCTCTCTGTAATATATCCTGATTGTTGCATATGTCTTCTACATTCTTCAAACAAATAAACCCTATTATATGCTAGCCTGCTGTCCCTGCATAGTATTTCATTTGCTACTGGCTGACACCAAGCAAGTGAAAGAGGAATTGTTCTTATTTTTGAACTAACTCAATAGAGGTTTCTCTTAAAAATAATGTTTCATGCAGTCTCCTTTTCATCTCTCATACTCCATTCACTTTGCCCCTACTTTCATTTCTCCAGACAAGTTTGTCCACATTTATGAGACAGATTTATGCAAGTACAGAATTTATGTTTCAGAGTTGGGAGAGAACCTGGAAGTTATTTAGTCCAGTGGAAGGGGCCTTCTTTGGATATAATTTTCATCTTCTCTCTTAAATGGGGTCTATCTCCCCCACTGAAAGATCCTGTCCCAGTGTGATCACCTATTCCTGTGATATCAGCTGACAGTTCAACATGACAGGTATCAAATGCTTTATTCAATTTCTTAGAATGTCATTTTTATATATGTCAATAGGGAAAAAGTGAAAGCTCTTCCTTATAGTAAAATGTCAAGAAATGTAGTAAGAATGATCAAATTGGGAAAACTTTATTTGACAACTATCATAGTAATACTCATGATCTAATTTACATGGTTTGAAATATAGTGTTAAAGCCATATATGTTCAATAGAAAACATACTTCAAATTTTTATATGCTCACTGTTTTTTTAAAATAAATACAGCCACTATGGAAGGCAGCATGGATATTCTTCATTTCAGAATCTGAAAATAGAGCTACTGGGTTTTGCCTCTCTTGGAGCCCCCTCCACACCAATCTGTCTGGAGGTCTCCGATCTAATAAATCTGCTTTTAAAACTTTAAATCTTGCTTTTCTCTTTGCCTTGTCAGGTTGGAAATTCTTCTTCTATGTGAAACAAAGAACTGAGGTAATAATATTTTCTCTGCTGCTGTTTCACCCATAAAATTTTGGTGCTGTAACTTGGATTGCAATTCCAACGTGGCACAGATCCCACTCAAGTTAGACTCCAGCCAGCCAAGGATCATACACCAGACTGATGAGCATGCGGATGGCTCTCACTTTTTTTCAGACAACTTCACACTCCTATATAGCAATTCTCATTTTCTCAAAAACACCAAGTCCATGTCACCCAGTTAAAAGCAATTAGCATGGACACTGGTCTTAAGTCTCAGGGCCAAGGCTTACTAATTAAAGCCACAGTGTTTTCCTGAGCTGAGACTCTATCCTATCCCCTCTCTTCTCCAGTGTGGCCTGATAATAATAATAGACAGAATTAAAAAGGAGATAATGTTCTAACATGGGAAGCAGTCCACAAAGCAACATCATAGAAGGATAACTTTAAAAGCACTCTGACCTCAGAATCAGCCCTTAATGCTTCCTGGTATGGCTGAAAAGTTCACGAGAGCATTTCAGGCATGGAAAGCCAAGACACTGTGGCAAAAATGGTCTACATGAAGGCTCTCTGTGTGATATCCAAGCAGAAAGAAGAGGCCATCAAAGAAGGATGTACTTTTCTCTAAAGGGAGGAGAGAATTTCCACTTTGCTTATGGCCTTGTCCAAATACTGATGGAATTTGAGGACTCAAAAGACTTCCAAAACATAGGCAGCTCATGTCAAGAGCTTCCAGTGGTCACTAATGTCATATATAAGAGTGTTAATCGTTAAATTAACAACAGGAGTCAGTGTGCACTAACTCCCCATGCAGGACCTCTGTCCTCAATGAGTTGTATTATGAGAGTTAACTGTAAAACTAGTCCTCAGTTTTGTGTGTGTGTGCAAATTGTTGAAATCTTTACTTAGTACAGAGTTGTTGCTCTGTGTACAAAATTTACTGGAAATGAATCTTAATGGAGCATGGGACTGGGAAGGGGAGAGAGAAAAGGAGTGGGAGTTTTGGTGGGAGGGTGGGGATGGTGGGAAGAATAACTATATTCCTAAGATTGTACTTTGGGAATTTTTTTCCTTAAAAATAAATTTAAAATAAATAAATCAAATTAAATTAAAGGGAAACTACAAATAAAGCATTAACTATTATGTACAAAAAAAAAAAAAAAAAGAAACTCAGACTTGGTCTCTTACTTTCTGCCTCTGAGCATATTGGCAGAAAGCTATAGCAAGCAAAGGAGCCAAACTTGAACTGGCACTCTGATGTGAGATGTGGGTATCCCAAGCAACAACTTAACCTACCAGGCCACATCTGACCCCCGAGCATGTTGAAAATAACTTAGGCTAGGCCAGGATGTGCCATGGGGTAGTTGTACTAAATGCATTTTGACTGTCATGTTTTCAACTTAGAAGGGATTATCAGGACATAACTCCATTGTAAGTCAGGGAACATCTGTAACTGATTTAGGCAAGTATTATTCCTGGATACTAAAACTAGCGGGAGCAAACTTGAGGGGTAAGGAATTATTTTAATAATTACAAATTACTCACCGCCTTCAAAAATCATTATTAATTAGCAGCTAAAATAACAGCAGTTGAGTAATCTTGTAGATACCACCTTAAAAAAATGATCAAGGGGCCGGCGCTGTGGCTCACTTAGTTTATCCTCCACCTGCGGTGCTGGCATCCCATATGGGCGCCGGATTCTATCCCGGTTGCTCCTCTTCCAGTCCAGCTCTCTGCTGTGGCCCTGGAGGGCAGTGGAGGATGGCCCAAGTGCTTGGGCACTAGCACCCGCGTGAGAGACCAGGAAGAAGCACCTGTCTCCTGGCTTCGGATGGGTGCAGCGCCAACCGTAGTGGCATTTGGGGAGTGAACCAAAGGAAGGAAAACCTTTCTCTCTGTCTCTCTCTCACTGTCTACAGCTCTACCTGTCAAATAAATTAATTAAAAAAGAAAAAAAGAAACAATCAAAATTAACCTCACTAGGAAAGGACAAATCTACAGCAAGAACATCCTGATCTGATACACTGGAAAAGGCACAGAAGGATTTCTAATGAGTCCTGCAGCTGTTGGGCTTACTGGTGAACAGAACACTTAAAATTGTAGCAACCTAGCTGTAATGAAGAGTTATTACATGTTTAAGAATTAAGAAGAAATTAAGCCTTTATTTGTGTTTTATCTCTTTATACTCAGTGAGTCAGTATTTCACTCTAATTGTTGCTGATATGAAGATAAACTCAGTGTCACTGAGGTTATTAGTATTTGCTTTAGTGGTCATTTCATTTCCAGCCAGAGTGACTACTCAACTACTTACAAGGTAAACTGTGGCACCTCTCAGAGATTCCGCATAGCACAGGATGAGGTGCTGGTGAGTAGCAGGCACTGTCACAGGGACCATTTCATATTTTCTAATAACTCACCTGCCACTCACAGTTCATGCTTGTAATAAGATCTGATTTTCAATAGCCTGTGTTTATAGGATTGAATATAAGAAAAGAACATAATATTCATTCCATTATTAATATTCTCATGAATATTCTTCCCTCCCCTTTCCTTCCCTCTCTCTCTCTGTCACTTTACTTCTTTGTGGTATCTAAACTCTACTTCTTTCCAAAAAGGGCTTAGTGTTGCTTACAAGCAAATTTATGACTGATAGATACAATATAAAGAGAAAACCAAATCCACAAAAAGAGTATATGTTCATTATAAAATGTAACATAGTTTCTATGTATAAAGTTTTTCTGTTTTCCCTAGCATTATGAAACAGATATTTGAGGAAACAAAGTAAGTCATATATTACTTTTTCTGAGAAAGGAAAATCCATATTCTTTCCCATGGGGAGGAAAATTTTTATTGATCCTCAAATTTAAATTAAAATCCCAACGTGGGCTTTCTGTAATAGACATGGAGATAAATCAATGTTCCTTAAAAAGCAACACATTCAAACTCAATTTTTTTAACCATGTTTTACAAACTGAATTTGATTCCTTAGGACTAACTAACCATCAAGAGGTTTAATTGTTCAAGGAAAATGTGCTGATCATACATCAGTCTGAACACCAGAAAAATCTCAACATCAAACAAGATTGCACACTGGAAAGACTTTATATTAAACATGACTAAGGTAGTTGAGTTTTGGTGTAGACTGGTGACAGCTGGAGCTTACAAAGAAAGAATACATAATATAGGGGTCTGATCATCTATGTTGCTGATCTGAAGAGATGTTCACTGTCACTGAGGCTATTAGGATTTGCATTAGTGGTCGTCTGATTTCCAGCAAGAGTGACTACTCTTGAGTAGTCTCTGGGTTACTTTCTTTACTTTCCCTAGATAAACTAGAGTGTACTTTTAAATGAGATTACAAGAGGGCAAATATGCTTTCCTCACTATTTAAAAAAATAAAACAAATAAGAAAGGTTCGTGGAAACAGCCATGCTGGGAGAGAACTCAAATGGCCTAAGAATCCATGTAATGTCTGCTGTGTGACTCTATTGGTAACTGTTCACGTAAACATATAGAAAGATTATGTCATACATTGATTCTGGGTACGTTTCATATCAATGTACATGAAAGTGGCAAATGAAAATATAACCGAAGAAATGGAGAGTCAAATTCTGTTCTGCAAAGCTGTCACTGTTGTCATTTGTTTTCCAGTGGGAAGCATCTCTCGGGGAACACATTCTTCAGGGCTGATTTTACATCTTTATTCCTCAGACTGTAGATCAGTGGGTTCAGTGTTGGTGTGACAAGGTTATTCAGGATCTGAATCACGGCACCAAGCAAGGGGCTGGGGTTCCGCTGTAGATAGATGATGATGATTGGCCCATAAACACACAAAATTGCAACAAGATGGGCACTGCAGGTGGAGAATGCTCGTTGCTTGCCCTCTTTGGAGCGGATTTTTGATATGGAGATCCCAATGCGAATGTAGGAGGCAAGGATGAGAGAAAAACAGACTAGAGACAACAGGCCAACATTGGTAAAACCTACCCTCTGGGCTCGAGAGGTGTCTGCACATGCTAGAGGTAACACGGCAGGAATATCACAGAAGTAATAGCCCACCTTGTTAGGGCCACAGTAGGGTAACTGAAAAGTGAGGGAGGTGAGGATCGTGGCATGGACACAGCCACCCATCCAGGTCCCTGTGGCCAACGCAGAGCACACTCTGTGGTTCATGATGATCGTGTACCGCAAAGGGAAGCAAATGGCAACAAAGCGGTCGCAGGCCATCACCGTGTACAGGAAACACTCTGTGCAGCCCAGGAAATGGTAGAAGAAGAGCTGAGCCACACAGCCCTGGAAGGAGATGTCCTGAGTCTGCCCTGAGAGGTAGCAGAGCATCTTGGGAGCAGTGGTTGAAGAGAATCCCAGGTCAAAGATGGAGAGGTTTCCCAAGAAAAAATACATGGGGGTGTGCAGCCTCGGCGAGGAGATGATAGCAGTAAGGATGAGCACATTTCCCAGGAGGGTACACAGGTATAATGCTGAGAACAGGCACAAAAGCGGCCCCTCGAGGCCCTGTGTCTCAGGGATTCCCAGCAAGATGAATTCAGTCACCCATGTGTGATTTCTCATTGTAATGGAAGGATCAACTCTTGGGCGTCTGTGAAAAGAAATTCATGGTTACAGCTGATGTATTTGTAAATTAACTGTGTTTAGATTGGTGAAATGGAAAAGCAGCAAAAGCCTTGGCACAGAGCCTTACAGGATGCAGCCTCCCTGTGGAGCTGTGCTGATGCTGCTCGCCCTAGTCTGGCTCTTTCTGCAGCCCAGCCTTTGGTGGCAGGCACCTTTCCCTCACAGTCTCATCAGACATAGCTCCAGGCAGAGTCTCCTATCTCCCATGTTTCATAGACACTATCAAATGGCACGCATTCCAAGACTGCTTTGTTATTCTAAAGCGAAAAATATAAAGATTTGTTGCCTTAATATAAGTCACTTCCACATTTCTTATTTTCATTTAAGGCAATATGGTTACACTAACTCTCCAGAATTCATTTATCTTCATGTAGGCCACATATATGAAAGATACAATGTCCTTCTAACATTATTTCCCCAGGTTAGAGGCTCAACAATGAGAAGTTGGCCAAAAATAAGGTCTTAGATGGGGCTAATGGATTGAAAAATGACAAAAACAGGGCCCTTAATCTGCAGTCACCTGAATCTAGTGTACAAGAGTTAAACTTCATTTTCTGTCTCTGAAGTCTGTCTGCTAACAAGATCCAAACAGGGCAAGATCAATTTAAGACAGTACAAAGCACAGGAGTTTGTGTGGAAATGACTCTCCTATCCAAGTTTCAGATTTTGAAAAGTTTTGATTATTTTCTAGTTGTTTTATCTTTTCCAACACACTGAGGTCATTACGTTATAGCTCAGTCAATGGATTCTATTGTCTAAGACCCTGTGATTTATCTATGAGCGATATTTCTACTTTTCTAGGTATCTATCTAGTATTCATCTATATAGGAATCATCCACCCATCTTTCTATCATCTGTTATCTGTGTTCTTGGTGATTGTGAAGCATAGAACTAGAGTGAAGATAACAAGCAAACAACAAGGGTTGGGCACTTACATGGCAAACAGGGAAAGCAGCTGGTGGTGTTTTCTATCCTACCCCAGTAGAAGGAAGGAGACACCCCTGCCTAAACCCCCATCAGCTTGCAGGCTGCATGTAGCTACCTTAAGTTTTCTTTCTCAGTCACTTTCAAATAGAATTACACAAATCTGAATGGCTTCAGGTACCTTGCATTAATTTCCTGTCTGACTCTGGGAATTGTAGTATTTCATGAACACAGGAGATTTAAATAATCTTGATCTTCCTTTGGGTCTAAGTCCCTCAAGTCAGGGAACTTATTGATCAAAGGAGCAATTAACTGCTAGCTGTAATTAGATCTCAGAAGTGAACGAGTGTGTGTTTGGACAGAAAGAGAGAGGCTATTATAATTTTCTTAATATAATATATTTCAGATGAATAAAAATTCATTTAGTACATATGTCACACACATTTTTGTGTGCAATTTCTGTATTTGCTGCTTGTGCATGTGTGTGTGTGGTTTTTATAAATAAACTGTATGTTATTTCACTACATTGTGCCAACAGGGCTGAGTTACTTCAGGCAGAAGTAATGAGGGTAGCTCAGAAAATTATAGAAACTGATGAGAAACTAGGCCCAGGGCAAGTGGGGATGACCGCGACTCCATGAATCTTAGAGTGAGCATTTATGGAGCAGATCACTATGCTTCAAATCACATGATTCAGCTTCAGCAGCCTCTGTCTCCATGTGCTTCACCTGGAGTCCAGTTTGAGTTCCTTGGCTGAGTCAGAGGCCTGCCCCTATGAGTAGGGTGCAAGGTGCAGTAGAATGGAGATGGGCAGTTCCCCAACGGCAGGGGGAAGTTTTGTTGCCAAGAGAAACAGAAAAGAAATATGCCAAGAGACCAAAAACAAGTTTGAGTCTTCACTGAAGTATCTGTCTTGCATTATTTTGTATCTTCTGCAGTATCCATGTTTGATGCTGTGGGTGCTCAATAAATATTGATCGGGAATGGCTGGGATGCTGTATTTCTCACTGACTTCATTCATTCATTTGTTTACCTATGTATAGCATTTATTCCAACAAATACTGAGCCCTAATTATGTGTTAGGCATTACTTATTTGCCAAGTGAGACAAAAGTTTTGTGAGGGAGTTGGATTAAATATAGTTCTTCTGCTATAATGATCTATAACACATCTGCAAGAAAAAGAGCATTTTATAATCTTATTTAAGCCTCAAAACTCTGACATGGTTTATTTCAGATGCAGACAATCAGGGGTCAAATAAGTTAAAAAATTGCTCAAAATAGAGTCTGGTGTTGGTGTACAGCAAGTTAAGCTTCTGCCACCCATGTAGAAGACCTGGATGGAGTTTCAGGATCCTGGCTTTGGCCTGGCCCAGCCTGGATGTTGTCGCCATTTGAACCAGCAGAGGGGGGATCTCTCCCACCATCTCTCTCTAAAATAAATACTTTTAAAAAATGAAAATGAGGAACTTATTTTGTAAGAAGATGTGATTTGGCTTCTTTGTCAGGTGTTGGCCATAAAGTTTTAGTATTTAGGGTATATTTAGGTGGTTACAAGATTCTGTATATATCTGGAATTATTATTTATATGCCAATGTAATGTTTTGTTCTCCATCTAACTAATGATAAAAGATTTAGTAGGTAGCAGTCCTTTTATCTAATTGTTGAGATTCTTGGTGTCTCACATTAGAGCTCCTTGGTTGAATTCCAGGTCTGGGTTCCTAATTCCAATTTCCTGCTCCTGCAGATAGACCCTGGGCACAGCAGTAATTGCGCAAGTAATTGGGCTCCTGGCGCTCCTCTGGGACACATGGATTGTCAGTCTTGAGCCAGGCCCAGACCTGCTGTTTCAGGTGTTTGGGGGTGAAGCAGCAGATGGGGAGTGTGTTCTCTCATTCTCTTTCTCTGTCTCTCTCTGTGTGTGTGCCTCTAAAATAAAGAATTTATAAAAAGTAGTCATGTGAAACCTAATAATTCTGCCTTTATGTCTATCATTATTGATCTTTAAGGCTTTAAAGCATAATAACTGACTTGAATAAAATGGCCATTTTTGGGGACTGAAACAGTGGATGCAAGATCTCTCTCTCTCTCTCTGTAACTTTGCCTTTCAAATAAATAAAATAATTCTAAAAATAAACCTGTCAAATGAAATCCCAGTAAATTTACATTGGCCTAGTAAAATTTTACTCAGGGAACAAAGATGGCTTGGATAATTTTAGATGTCCAATCAGAATCAAGATGTTTTAGAATCAAGGTGGCATGTGCTAAACTAACATGATAGCCTGAGCGGAAGCACTCACATTTTACATTTCCAAGAGGTCACAGGTTCCTGGTGAAAATACCTGTTGCATAATTGTGATCACATCATCAAAGAGCAGACTTTAATACAATATTGTGAAATTTTTCTGATTTTTGTATTACAATCTTGAAAACAAAAAGCTGACCCCTGGTAGCAGCTATCATCATACACACATTAGGTAAGTTCCAGAGATCCAAACTCAAGTAACAGATTTATATCAAGATGCTGTGAGTTTCAATTTGCAAATAATGGGTTCAGCGTGTGGTGAACAAATAATCCTGGGTGTTTATCTACTATTTTGAAAATCTGGAAGTGTTGCCAATTTGGTCTATAAATTCTGACCACATTTTAATGTTATTATCAAGGATGCCACAGTCTCAACTATAAAATCTTTCTAACATCATCAATCTCTTCCCATCTGTCTCAATTGTTCTATCTATCCCTAATTCTCTATCATCTCTTTCACCCTCTCTCTCCCTCTCTATCTCTGTCTGTCACGTGAGAACACTGAAAAAGTTAGCCATCTACAAACCAGTTAAGAGGACCTCATTGGGAAATGAATCCTTTGGCATCTTTCTATTGGGCTTTTCAGACTCAGGAACCATGAGATATATGGATTTTTTGATTAAGCAAAAAACAAAAAATAAACAAACAAAAAAAAACCCCAGATTTTTGCTTATTGTTCCTTTTCTTAGAAATTATAAAAATGTTTCAGAATTATTATCAACAGAAATGTATAATTGTGAGTTGTAATTTATCTGCTCTTTTAAGCACAATTCAATGTTTGATGAATTATTTAAATACTAAATGTTAACACCGAACATTACATGTCAAATATTGTTTCTGCATATGTCTTAGACCTTTCAAATATGTTCAATGAATCGAAAATGTTTATATTTAATGAAATATCACATTTTAATTGTAAATTTGCATATATTTATTAAGTACATCATGTTTTGAAATATATATAAGTATATATATACACACATGCATTGTAAAATGATTAAAATGAATTCAGAAATACATTACTTCATATACTTTAGTTTATTGTGTGATAACTTAATTTTTTAAAGATTTGTTTATTTATTTGAAAGTCAACTTACAAAGAGAGAGGGAGGGACAGAGAGAGTGAGAGATCTGTCTGCCGGTTCACTCCTCAGATGACTGCAAAGTCCAGGGCTGAGCCAGACCAAAGCCAGGATCCAGGAATTTCATTTGGATCTCCCATGTAGGTAGCAGGTCCCCAAGCATTTGGGCCATCTTCCGCTGCTTTTCCAGGCCATTAGCAGGGAGCTGGATCAGAAGCAGAGCAGGCAGGACTCAGTTGGAGCCTATATGGGATGCTGGCACTGCAGACTTCAACTTTACCTGCTACTCTACAATGTCAGCTCCACAATTTAGAGTCTACTTAAGGATTTTCAAGATCATAATTCATTTTTATTAATTATAGTTATCATTTTGTAGAACATATATCTTGAACTTATGTCTCCTTTCTAATGAAATTTTTTATCCTTAGATCAGCATTTCCTGCCTGATGCCTGATTTCCTAATAACCATCATTCTACTCTCAGCTTCTGAAGGCTAATTTTTAGATTTTATACATAGGTGAGACAATGCTATATTTAACATTCTGTGCCTAAGTTATTTCACATAGAATAATATCCTCAAAATTTATCTAAGTCATTGCAAATGACAGAATTCAAAATTTTTAAGAGCTCATAGTATTTTGGATTGTGCAATGCTA